CTGTGTATGTGTGTATGGTGTGTGTGTGTAATGTGTGTTTGTGTGTGTGTGTCTGCAGAATATTGCAGTGTGTGTTGCATGATGCGTGTGATGTGTTGTGTGTAGTGATGTTGTGATTGTGTGTGTGTGTGTGTGTGGTGTAGTATGTGTAGTTGATGTTATGTGTTGTGGTTTGGTGTAGTTTAGTGTGTGTGAATTAAGTATTCGTGTTATTGGTTGTGCTTAGTGTGTGTGTTGTGTGTCGTTATAAGTTGTGTGTTTGAATGTTTGTGTGTCGTGTGTGCGTGTGTCTGTGTGTGCATCGCCGCCGTTGTGTTGTGTGTGTGTATGTCGTGTGTGTGTGTGTAATGTGTTGTGTGTGTGTTGTGTGTGTGTGTGTGGTGTGTGCTAGGTGTCATGTGGTGTTGTTGACTGTGATGTGATGTTGGTGATGTGTGTGTAGTGTGTGTGTTGTGTGTGTGGTTGTCTCAGCACTTCACATACATGCGATAAAGATTAACAGTACCTCAATTATATATATATTATATATACTATATGTAATGAATGAATATTATAGTAATAAATTATATTAAAATATATATATATATAAATATATAATTAATATTTTAAAATATTAATAATATAGTATATATTTATTATATAACTATATGTATTAATATATATATATATGTATATACTATAGTATATAATATAACATATATATATACTGACATATACCATATAGTGATATATGTAGATTTCGATATTATTATTGTACCAATATAATATGTTAATATATATATATATATATAAATATATATATAATAAATATATAATATATTAATAATCGTATTATCTAATTATAGTATATATTTATAATTAGTAGCTAAATAATATATACATATATATATATAATATATGTGTGTGTGTGTGTGTGTGTGTGATGGTGTGCGTGTGTGAGTGTATTGTATAATATATATTATATATGTAATATATATAATATATATATATAATAAATATATATATTAGTGTATTTATATTATAAGAATATTATTAATATTATAAAATATTAAATATAAATATGTATATATTAATATAATATTATAATATATGTACATATATATGTATATGTATTAATATAATATATAAGTATAATATGTAAATGTATATATATTACGGTATAGTATTAGTATTGATATATAAGTTATATTTATAATATATTAGTTAATATTATATATATATATATAAGTAATGTATGTATATGTATTACATATATATATATAAGTATATCTGTATAATGTATACATATTAGTTTCGGTGTATGTAGTGTGTACACCATCTGTAACACACACATAACCACGCATATTGCATAAATGATATGTAAATGATTGTAAAGTGGTGTATATTCATGTGTCTCGTGTCAAAAGATACGAAATAGATGACTATCACTTAAACCAAAGGAAGGACACCAGAGGAGACAGACAGGTAAAGCTACTATCCCCCCACCCCCGAGTCTCATCGCAAAGTACACTTATACCATCCCACTATGTATATCAGCATATATGAAGTCAAGTCTAGAATCGAAGAAGAAATGTGTTGAAATGCGAGTTGACGTCAATTATTCTTAAATATAGTGTGAGGACCAGGCCGTAGAAGAAATAATGATATTTCTCAGTGTAAGGTGGATTAGCCATATCCAATTATCATACATTCGTCTGCTTGACTGCTGTACAGATTAGCCCAATATATAAGCGGTATTGTGCCGTTTATGTGCACTGTTGCCTATTAAGATATCAAATATATCTGACCTAATGACTGAGTTATTATAATTCTCGTCCTCTAAAGAGTTAAAAATGTACTTAACTTTATAATGTTACTGAAATTTTTTGTCTAGTGTAAATCTAGGCAAAAATGTATATAAATTTACGATTATGTATGGTATCTTACTGTCTGGTGTAGTCAAAACTATGGTATCATTCAGTTATTGTATTTTAGAAATATAATTACAAATAATGTGGTTTCATCATGCTCACTGGAAGCTTAACTTAAAAAACTATTTTGTCATTATTCAATAAACACATTAAAATATGTACAGTAGGTATTCTGTCAAATGATCATTGTGCTTCAGCTTTGAAAGATGACACAGGACACCATAAAGCCAGAAAATGAGTTTGAATAAACATGCAGTATATGGTAATACATAAACGTATTATCGCTTATGTTTTACAAACGTTGATTATATATTTGATAAGAGCCTTTATAATCACCATAACAGCTCAAAGGATAACAATTAGGCAGTTGCAATCGTTCCTACTAATGAAACAAAAAAAGTAATAATATCAAGTATGTGTGTCATTCCATAAGAACGTTATTAAACATTTATATGGTCAAATGCCTGTTAATTACGTTACATGTGATCTATGGAATCATACACATAAACACTCACACCTCATCTCGTTAAAATATAGATGTAAAATACTATAAATGAAGTTCTATGTTAACACGACATAAGATTATCATTAGGTAAATTTCAATACGTACATAATAGCTATCTATTATAACATTAATTTTTTTCCCTTTGCTTGAAGCTATATATCGAAACTACAACTACATCAGATTTGTCAGTGTAGGTGGTGTTTATATCTTTGCAAATAAGACAATTCAATCATATCGACAAATCTTACAATAATTAACTTAATGCTCCATGCTCTAAATACATATCATCTGTCATCTCTTGTAACATCTAGGATTTTTTTTTTCTCGCTCTCATTGATTAATTCGAATACTAATCAACTTGCGTTCTTATTACTAGGGTGCAGTTCACATCCCATACTTTTATTATCCTTAAAACATCAAAACATTTGTAACTAGGTAAACTTATAATAATACATCTAGACTTATTAAGTGCATCTTATTTAATACGACCTTTTTCCCTTTCTTCTATGAAGAGGCACATTATCTGGTCTTACATAACCACTAAACAACATTTCAAGGATAGTAAAGAACTCGTAGATAGATGGATAACTAAACGGACGACGACGACTTCGACCTCTCTAGTCGACCATACGTATTCGAACGCTAGGCAGATTCCAATCCACTGGCGGCGTGAATTCTCGGTGAGATTGTCTGATCTATTTTCTTCTATAACTTTCATCTTTACGATATAATATAACTGAAATTGATGAATGATGAAATACTAGATGATGAATTGATATAAGTATATTGACTCCTAAATAACGATTTATGACAATCTAATATACACGGTCACCGAGGATTCTATCATTATGATACTTATATGTACACAATTAGACTGAGGATTTATAGAAATCGATAAATGGATAAATATGATGATAGTGGATAATAATTAAATTGAATAGATAATTATATATCGATGATTGACGAATTTGTATAAAGAACTCATCATAATAATAAATTAATAACCTACTACATATTGAAATATAATAATGATCATGTTAGTATAGTAGTTGGGTAATTTAAACAATTACACGATTTAATGATAACAATAGATTATATCATAATATGTAATAGTAATGACAATGATCAAGATAATAATTGAAATATCTTTCTTTTGTCCATCCCCATTAAGTATCATTAATAATAATACTTAAAACAATAATAATAGTGAAGTAATGTATGATAATATAAACCTATATCTAATACTAATTATTAGATTAGGTAATTACTGATGATGATAGATAGATACTAAAAATGATTATTGCAATGATGATAATTAACACATAATCACCTATATAAACATAATATCTACTAATTAATCGTCATCCAATATACATGATTACATACTGATATATAATTCGGATAATAATTAGTAATGAATGCACAATAAATAATAACAATATAGCAATAATCCAATGATATTTATAACAATGATAAATGCATAATATATAAGGTTCAATAATTACATATAATTATATCATATAGTCTTATATTATATATTTATTATTCTGTTATAATATATTATTATATATATATAATAATAAAATAAATTAGGAAATATATAATGAAGATATATAGTAAATGATAATGATAATAAGTAATTCGATAATGATATAATTAATAATGATAATAATAATAATAATAATAAAATAATATACAATAATCATTATTACACATAATACATAATCATGATAATTATCATTATTGTCATTATAATTATAAAACTGCACATACAATACTAGTCTTTAATGAGTAATTGTTAGTTTGCGACACTTGCCACCGTAAGATACAAACCAACAGGCGCTTCCTCCTTTGTGCTCGAAACCCACTATCAGGATTTTACATTTATATAATTAGACACAGCAACAATAAAGGGGTCGAATATCTCTCTCAGACGTCCTAAGAATACAACAAAGGGGAAAGAAAAAAAAGGGTTAGACGTATACGAGAGAGAGAGAGAGAGAGAGAGAGAGAGAGAGAGAGAGAGAGAGAGAGAGAGAGAGAGAGAGAGAGAGAGAGAGAGAGAGAGAGAGAGAGAGAATAAATAGAGAGATAAAGAGAGATTTGTGGGATGTTATGCGGGTGTTGACATAGGCGAGACCATCTTCAGACATGCTGGTGGCGCCAAACTCGATAAGTAGACAATGGCGGCACGGTTCCTTCACTGCAGTATCCCCTCACTTATTCAAATTCGTAAGTGAACTATGCTCCGTTCTGTCAATTCACGTACATTTTATCTATCTAATATAGGAAAATAGACAATACATATAATACACTGTCGAAAACTCAGCTTATTGACTTTGAAGGAAAGGAAAAGGCGACAAGAAGAGGAGCTGGAGAAATTGGCCCGCATAGCATCTTCAAGGAGCTCGTGAATTGTCATCAAGGTCCCATTGCGACTCTCACCTCCAAGGCATTAGTACGAGTATATTATGAAGATAAATATACTCGTCGTCATGCCCGCTTAGTAGGACTTAATTCTGTGCTTATTACCGTCTTTGCCAAGGGTTGATTTGATTGATGAAAACAGTAGATAAAGCCATTGTCAATAATATATGCACATACCTTCCGATACATTAGAAATATCTGACACCCATTATCACGGAAAACAACGAACAGAACACGTTTTAAGATTCTTTAAAAGAAGGAAAGAAAGAAAAAGAAAGAGAGAGAGAAAAAAAAACAACTCCTGGCACCACTCTCCCGAAAACACGTGATTTTACACTTGAAACAATCCCACTCCTTTTACAGTGGCGATGCAGTATCCTATTCACCTGGTGGGCTCCCCGCTGCTGAGTGCCCCGCTGCCCTTCCGCTGCTCTCGCCTGGATAATGCTTCTGCAACACCACTCATCGGGTAATTACAATACGAATTTATAATGTTCGTAGGTGGGGTTGAGAGAGAGAGAGAGAGAGAGAGAGAGAGAGAGAGAGAGAGAGAGAGAGAGAGAGGAGAGTGAGAGAGAGTGAGAGAGAGAGAGAGAGAGAGAGAGAGAGAGAGAGAGAGAGAGAGAGAGAGAGAGAGAGAGAGAGAGAGAGAGAGAGAGAGAGAGAGAGAGAGAGAGAGAGAGAAAAGAAGAACAAGAACAACGAAGGGAAGAACAAGAAAACACACGAATATGCCGAAGGCCTTTTCGCTATTGCTTCGTCAGGGCAATAGCGAAAAGACCTTCGGCATATTCATGTGTTTTCTTGTTCTTCACTTCGTTGTACCTGTTGCAATTTGTTCGTCATGAATTCCACACGTGTGTGTGTGTGTGTGTGCACATGAACCTGTAACTCAATATTCATCCCTTATTCCTCATACACATTAATTTGAATGCAGTAAGACCTGTGCTCATTCTCTAGACCTTTCTGTCATATCTTTTGATTTACAAAAAAAAAAAAAAAAAAAAAAAAAAACGAAAAGCAGAAGCAAAATCCTAAAAAAAAAAGGCCATGACTTCAAGCTGACCTAACAAGCGTAAGAATCATCAGCAATTTCGCAATATCCTTTCCGGAGATATAAAAAAGACACTCTGTACGCACTAGTCTTTTTTTCCTCTTTTTTTTTCATGGACCAGCTCATCCTACTTCAATGACCACTGCATACCACTTCCCGATGACCTTGGGAAAGAGGAAGCCAAAGTGGGCGCTTCTGTCAACAGCACCCTCCTGGAACCTCCTCCGAACACCGAACGCCATCTAACGTTCATGAAATCGTGCCCAGTGATAGAATATAATACTTCGATATTTACATCAACGGTTATCTCAGAAGTAATATTTCTTCTCAAAACTTTTATCATGTTTATTGTTAAACACACGTTGTCCTTTTTGGGATGGTCATGATAATTTGAAAAAAAAAAAAATGGTATCAAAGCGAGGGTCAAAAATAAATAAATAAATAAAGAGAAAATTCTGAGGCATCGTATCTGATAAGAAAATAAATACTGAGCAACAGTGTGATAAAATCCCGTACGTTTCCCCTTTTGCTCTCCAGTGGCACCTGGTGTGTGAGCAGACGCACTTGCAGCCGCTCTTCCAGATGATGTACAACATTGGAGGGATCTTCGGGAGCTTCGCAGGAGGACACGTTGGCGATAAGTAAGCAATGATTATACTAGATAGAAAAAATGTAGGAATTATACACTGGATTTAATGTACAATAGACTCTACATACTTAGAAACTTGACTTCGTTTATAAAGAAGTGACAAAAGGTTAGTGATGATTGGTCGAGGCATGGGTGTTCAGAAAACATCATTATATTCAATTAATTACCATAAACAACTAGTCAATCATCAAATAACTATTTTCCTTCAATAAAACTTGTTTTCGTATAATGTTTTTGTGCAGCAGCATCAATATGGTAGTTTTGTTTCATTATGAATTCCTATCCTGTCATCAGTCATCACCAATTTGTCAAATACATCTTCGACTCGATAAAAGATTAGTTACATTGTTCGTCGACAAATGTTCATTTTTGAAATAACGAGGAATATTTATTAGCATGCCACGTCTTTACTCACAACCGCTGCTCATTCCTCTTCCCGCCAACAGATGGGGTCGGCGTCGGTCTCTGCAGATTGGAATCGTGTCTTACATCTTGGTGGTCATAGCCATGGCTTTTACATCCTCCTTCCCTTTCTTATTAATTCTGCGGATACTGACCGGCGTGACTGGCCAGAGTATGTTAATACCTGCCTGGAGTCAAGGTAAGATATGGATAAAAAAGTTTCTCTGCCCTTTTTTCCCCTTTTTTGAGTGGAGACGCACCAAAAACTCAATATTCCAAAGAACGTCCCAATAGTTTGTGATCTAAAGGTATTTTTCCTCTTGTCGAAATGCAAACCACCTCGTCTTACCCTCCCTCTCCTCCCTTACCTTTCTTCCTTCTCCACAGCACTCGAGTCGACTCCCTCCCGCCACCGCAGTCTCGTCGGGATGCTCCTCGGCCTCCCCTATTCCCTGTTCGTCATCGTGTTCTCGGGGGTCGGCTACCTTATCCGCTCCTGGCGATACCTCATGCTCGTGTGCTGCGCGCCGTCCCTCGCGCTGCTACCGCTGTC